GGGCGTGGGGTGGTAGCTGGCCGGCGAGTGGGTGTTCTGGTAGCCCAGTGGGTCTGAGGGGGCTCAGGGGGGGTTGGGTCGGATGGTAGCTGGCCAACGAGTGGGTGTTCTGGTAGCCCAATGGGTGTTCTGGTAGCCCAGTGGGTCTGGGGGGGCTTAGGGGGGTTTGGGGGGGCTCAGGGGGTCTGGGGGGGGCTCAGGGGGTCTGGGGGGGCTCAGGTTACCTGGTAGGCCATGGGGGAGGGCGTGGGGTGGTAGCTGGCCGGCGAGTGGGTGTTCTGGTAGCCCACCGGGCTCGGGGCCACCTGGTGGTAGCTCTGGGGGGAGGGGCTGGGCTGGTAGGACCCTTGTGGGGAGGGGACGGCGTAGGGCGAGAACTGCTCCGTGTTGTACCTGGGGGGGGAAATGGGGGGGTCACACCTGGGGGGCGCATGGGGGGCAGGGGTTCCCCCCAGAGCCACATTTTGGGGGACTCCCTCCCCCAAGAGCACAGGCCCTCCTTGCCCCCTCTCAGACTTTGGGGTCCCGCTGCCCCCCATCCTGCAGCACTCTGGCATCCCCCCACCTCCCCAAAAGCATTTTGGGGTCCCCCAGAAGCCCATTTTCTCCCCACAGTGACATTTCGGGGTCCCTCCACCCCCCCAGATTTCAGTGTTTCCCCCCCCACACTCCCCCTCCAGATTTGGGGTCCCCCCCATTTGGGGGTCCCGGGGGTTTGGGGGTTGTAGGGCTGTGACTTGGGGTGTCCCCCCCTCCCTCCCATTTTTGGGGTCCCCCCCATTTGTCACTCACATGGCGGGGGTCCCGGGGGTCTGAGGGTTGTAGGGCTGTGTGACCTGGGGGGAGGCAGGGTCGGGGTACCCGGGGGTCTGTGGGTTGGGGGTCCCCCCATAGCCCTGGGGGGATGGGGTGGGCTCATCCTCGAAGCCGTACTCGAAGTCCTCGTCGGCCCTGGGGGGGCAACGTCAGAGGGGGGGCCCAAATGGGACCCCCAGAGAGGGGGAGACACAAATGGGACCCCCCCCAAGAGGGGGAGACAAATGGGATCCCCCCAAAAAGGGGGAGACAGCACAAGGGGATTTGGGGAGGGAGAGACACGAAACAGGGGGGTTTGGGGAAAGGAACCCCAAAGAGGGGAAATTGAGGGGGGTCCCATCTAGAAGAGGTTTGGGGTTTCTGGGGGGCTGGGGGGGGGGTTTGGGGTAGGGGGTCTCACCTCAAAGAGCTGTTGGGGCTGTTTTGGGTTATTTTGGGGTGGGGGTCTCACCTCGAGGGGGTGTTGGGGTTGTTGGGGTCCCAGGCCCCGCTCTGGGCCGGGGTCCTGCTCCCGTCGTGCAGGGGGGTCTGTGACCCATAGTGGGGGGTGCGGCTTCCTGGGGGGCAACCCCAAAAATGCTGTCACCCCCAAGGGCCCCTCCCCTGGCTGTGGGGATCCCCTGGAGCCCCCTCCAAGCCCCCCCAGAGCCTCCCCAGTGGTCCCAGAGCTCCCCCAGTGCCCCCCTCAACTCCCAGGGTCCCCCCAATCCCCAGAGCACCCCAGTCCCTTCCAAACCCCCCCCGAGCCCCCCAGTGCCCCCCCATCCCCACTCACCGTCGTGCAGGGGGGTCTGGGAGCCGTACATGGGGGTCCTGGACCCCGAGCCGTACATGGGGGTCTGGGAGCCGTACATGGGGGTCCTCCCGTAGGCCGACGTGAGCCCCCCGGGGCGCCGGGACCCCCTGGGGGGGGAAAGGGGGGTCAGAACCCCTGACAGAGCCCCCTCTGTGTGGCCCAAGGGTCACCCCGATTCACTGAGGGGTCTCCAAGGGCCCCCACTGACCCACCGAGGGGTCTCCCAGGACCACCCCAACCCACTGAGGGGTCTCCAAGGACCCTCTCGGCCCATGGGGGGGTCACCCCAACCCACAGGGGGGTCTCTGGGGATGTTCCCACCCCATGGGGGGGTCTCCCCTCCCCTGCAGGGGTCTCTGGGGGTCTCCCCCCACTCACACGGTGGTGAGGCGCTGCCTGTCCACGGAGATGGTCTGGCAGGTCGAGTGCAGCTCCACGCGCGCCGTGGACTCCGTGGCGTCCTTCACCACCCCGATGTACCCTGAGGGGGCACGGGGGGGTCAGGGAGGGTCCCGGGGGGCTCTGGGGGGCTCCGGGGGGGTCCCACACCCACCTTTGTAGGGCCCCTGCGAGATCCGCACCGTCTGCCCGATGAGGTCGTTGTCGCGCCGGCCCCGCCCGCGGCTCATCCCGCCGGCCCCAAAGCCCCCCCGCTGGCCTGGGGGGGCACAGGGGGGCTCAGGGGGGGCTCGGGGGGTCCCCAAAGATCCCCGGGAGCGCCCCCAGACTCACCAGCCCCGCTGGGGTGCATCGGGCTGCTGATGCGGGGGGACATGGGGGTGAAGCCGCACACCGTGAAGTTGGTGACGTCCCGGGGCTGCGGGCGGGGAAAACTGGGTGAGGAGGAGGGAAAATGGGCAAAATCGGGAAATCTGGGGGTCCTGGGCTGTCCTACAGACCTTGGAGCCCCCGGCCAGCACCAGGTGGCGGGTCTTGCACACGAACATCCCCCCGTTCTCCACCAGCTTCTTGCAGTGCAGGAAAGCGAAGCCGCGGAAAAGGTGTCGGATCTCGCCCTCGCGGCCCTGGGGGGAGAAAAGTGGGGCAAAACCCCAAAATTAGGGGGGTGAGGGGCAGAAAAGGGGGTGAAACTCAAAAAGGGGATGAAAGGCCAAAATAAGAGGAGTGAGAAGTAAAAAGGGGAGCGTGGAAGCAAAAATAGGTTGGGAGAAACCCAAACAAGGGAGGGAAACCCAAAACAAGAGGGGGAAACCCAAAACAAGGGGGGGAAACCCAAAAAGGAGAGATGAAACCCCAAAAAGGGAAGGTGGAGCCCCAAAAAGGGGAGGTGGAGTCCCAAAAATGAAGGAACCTGAAAAGGGAGGGTAAATCCCAGAGCAGGGAGCGAACTCCAAACCAAGGGAGGGAACTTGGGGATGTTCCCAGAGACACAGACAGAGCCGGGGACCCCCAAGACACCCCAAGGAGCCCCCCAGCCCCCCCGGGGACCCCCCAGAACGCACAGAATGGGGGCCATCGATGACTTTGACGATGTCCTTGACGTGGATGTTGTTCTGCTCCGAGTCCAGGGCGACGGCGAAGCGATTGTCCTTCTTCCTGGTGACGGCCTGGTGCCGCACTGTCACCACCTTCCCGTACATGTTCAGCACCTGGGGGGCCACGGGCGTCAAGGGGGGGCTTCCCTAAAGTGGGGGACCCCCTGGGGGCGGGGGGCACAGCCCTGGGACAGGGCAGAGCTCAGGGACCCCCCAAAACACTGACATGGTCCTGGTATGTGACTGCCTTCCCCTACACGTGGGGGGCACGTCTGGGGGGTCTTGGCCAAAAAATTGGGGACCCCCCCCAGGGTCAGGGGGAACCCCCTGGGGTGGGGGAGACCACCCTGGTGTGGGGGGCACAGCCCTGGACAGGGCAGAGCTTGGGACCCCCTCCCCATCCACAGGACACAGATTTGGGGTCCAGGACCCACCTGTGGGGGGGAAACCTGGGGACTCACCTGGGGGGTGACAGTGGGGACCCCAAGATTTGGGAACCCCCCACATTTGGGAGTCCAAGACCCTCCTGGATTTAGGAGGGGGGGGGTGTCTCACCTGGAAAGTGACCATGGAACCCCCATATTTTGGGGGGTCTCACTTGGAAGGTGACCGTGG